CGATTTCTTTGGATGGATTTGTATATATGTGACTGAAATTACACCTATTCTAGAAAACTCGAAGTTGGTGTCGTTGAAGAGCAATATATAGATATATGGTAAAAATTGGGCCGAATGATAGATTGCACATGTTGGCTGCCTGCCGAGTGTGCAGCTGAAGCGCGTTGTCTGCGTGACTTGAGATCACCGAACTGTGCTTAGTAACGTGTGAAGGTTTCAAGGATCCCTAGTTACTCAATGCAGTCTAGTCTTGAACTTAAGCTAATTATTCATTTCGTTTTTTGTTTGTAAGCGATTTCGCGAAGGCAAGACACAGGCGACAAATATCAATATGGAGATGGTGAGTGCAAGGACAAGTGCATATGCCGGAGAAGGGTTGCATGTGACGCACAAGCTTTAAGCGCTTAGGCTGCAAGGCAACTGCATTGTTACCAAAGCATGATCTGCAGCTTAAATTCAAGGGGAGAGGACCTGAGTAGGTAGGCTTCAGGGTGCCGTGTAATGTCTGCAACAAGAGCAATAAGACCGATCGTGTGCGGCCAGCCTATGGGTTAGCACAGGTCCAAAATGGATCCGGCGCAGGTCCGGGTTGGGCCCGGCGCAAATCCGGGTTAGACCCGTAACTTATTGTTACGATATGTCCGGAGACACTCCGTGTCCCCAGACATCAACCAGTCTCAGACATCAACCAGTCTCAGACAAGATACAGTCTCTAGACAAGAAGCTGTCTCTTCTAGACATGTGCAGAACAAGCTAGCCGCTCAGCTAAAGCGACGACTCAGCCTTAACCTAGCTAGCCTTGCGCGCCAGAAGCGCTGTCTGCTGGCGCTAGACTCTCCCTCCTACGCAAACCAGATCACTGTTCTCCACAATGACCTCCCTTAATACCAACATCACGTTTCTAGGTTATGGCAACCAGGGAGCGTAGGTGGGACACAACTCTGGCACTATCGCGAACCACTTCCATATTCCCGCTGGTGGATGCCCGCTCCCGCCTTAATAGCGCTGCGCTAACCAAGCACTGTCTCTTTAGAACGTTCCGATACTCTCCTTTATAAGGTGGTTAAGCACGCTCGTAGTAGTAGCAATGTGGTTACTACACTTTTGCGGGCCGAAAATGACGCCTAGCTTAAATAGGATTAGCTATGGTTGACCAGTTGTAAGTCGCAATCTATTGCGAGTCGGGCCTTCTTCGACCACAGCGGTTGATAGGCGTTGAAAACAAAGCAATAGAAGAGACACTAAGCAGGAGTCAACTCCGACCGATAATATTTAAGCAATTGAGCTTCTAAGCTGAATGTTTCTCCCCCTCTAAGCACCTATGAGCCTGCAGGCGTTTGAATCAAGCCCTCCTCATACCTAGGGCAGATTTTCTTGTCCATAAATTACACTGTTGCCTCCACAAATCGTATCATATCTAGCCATGTCCAAGCCACAGATAGTTATCGTACCCGGCGCGTGGCATGCCCCATTCTACATGGCAACAGTGGTTTCGAACCTTGAATCACTTGGGTACACAATTCACGCCCAGCAAATGCCCGCTGTCGGCTCATCCAACCCACCCTCAGATCTGTCTACTGATGTTGCTGCACTCAACTCCATGGTCGAGAAAGCCATTGATGCAGGCAACGACGTGGTCGTTATCTGTCACAGCTGGGGCGGCATGGTAACTGGCAGCGGGCTCATGGGACTCAGCAAAGCCGAAAGAGAACAAAAAGGGAAAAAAGGAGGCGTTATAAGGACGGGCTATATGACCGCTTTCATTGTCGACATAGGTGTCAGCATGATGGACGCCGCTGGCGGAAAACCTGCGCCGTGGTTCGGTATTCAGGTAAGCCATCTCTTTCCCTTTTGCCTTGTTTCTGAAAATACGCATTGCTAAACTCTAAGCAGAACAGATACGTCTACGTTAAGGATCCCAACGTTTTGTACAACGACCTTCCGCCAGCGGAACAACAAAAGTGGGGAGAAAAGTTACAGTGTCATGCGTACGACACCTTTTACGCAAAAGCAACCGCTGCCTCGTGGAAAAAGATCCCGACTAACTATTTGCTGTGCGAGGACGATCTGGCGATTCCAAGAGAAGGCCAGCAAGCTATGATAGAGGGTGTTAAGGCCGTGGGGGCAGATATTGAAGTCACGAGCATCAAGGTGGGGCATAGTCCGTTTCTAAGCAAGGTAGACGAGACAGTAGCGTGGATCGTGGGCGTTGCTGGTCGGTAGGCGAAGAAGAAAAAGAGGACGAAGAATAAAAAGAAGTTAGGGTTAGGGCTCCTAAGGTATATGCCTTGTTGCAACGCTGTTAGACTTCATTTTAGAGCCAAGTGTTACATGAGGTTGGGGTATATTTGCCTAGTCTCAGTCCAGGTGAAGGCGAGACGGTATAACAAAGTTGTCAGATAGGATTCTGTGCGTAGTGCAAGAGTTCAGTCAATGCAACACCCCCTGCGTCGCCAAGTGTAGAACCCACCACAATCAACACGCGATAACTCCACCATCATGACAGCTATTGAAAAAGTGATTGCAGCAATCAATCCACAAGATCCAGACGGTTAAATCTCGAACCGCGCAGTTGCAAAGAATTTGGTGTTGAGGTGTCAACTCTAACGCGTCAGCATTAAAATAAAACGCGATCGCGTGCAGCCGCCGTAGAACAATGGTGATTAATCAGCCCATGACATGAGATTGAGCTTGCCAAGTACATAATAAATCGATCTTGTCGTGCTCTTCCACCTACGAAGCTTATGATAAAAAAAATAGCTAGTATTGCGCAATAGGAGCCTTTAGACAGCTAAATTACAAGATTTCTAAAGCGGAATAGAGAAAATATCACTATCAAAACGTCCACCAACATCGACCGTGACCATTATAAAGCTAATTATATCACACTATACTATAGATACTTCCGTCTACGTTACGATAAACTCAACTAGCACGATATCCAGCCGCATAATATCTATAATATTGATGAAAAGGGCTTTCTTAGGTTGAATTGCAGGTTAAAAAGGGTGTTTTCGAAGCAACTCTAGGATTAAAATAAGGTTATAGCAGCTATAAGAGATATTATTAGAGAGTAGATAATAACGATTAGCTATATTTATACTAATAGGAGCTAGGTAGACCCTATAGTAATCTTGAAGGGCAAAAGTAGTGTAAGGGGCTGCGCTCCGTAGAGCAATCGCTTAGTATACAAGAGGTTGTATTTAATAGAGAGCTAAGCTTCTAGGATACCTAGCTATCTATACATATATAGGTAGTTATCTAAGTAACTATTAGGCTAATAAGGCGTAGCTTATTAAGTACCTCCTAAGTATCGTTTAGGTACTTAGTAGGAGTCTAGGTACTTTACGTAGTATCCAGGCTCTTATAAGTTAACTAAGATTCTATTTAAAATCTTATCTAAAGAGTATTTAGCCTATTGTATATCAGCTATATTTTTTCTAATTTTTATATAATTAATATATTCTATATATATTAGAATATTAACCTACTATTACTAATA